GTAATGATTTAAGGACCTCAAGGGTTCCGTTACTAAGAAGAAATGTGAAATATAATCCAAAGATGAAAAAAAAAAAAAAAAGATAAGTGTATTTTGATCTGTATACAGTTGGCTGTGTTGTTTTGGCTCCCTGGTTTGCGGTAGCTCATCAATGATCAATGTGTTCTCAGCGAATAAGCCACGAGAACCTTACTGTTTTCATCGTTTTTTTTCTTTTTTGGATGGGAAATTGAGACAATCAAAATTACGTGAGGAAAAATGGAACAGAGGGCCTGCATGGAACAAAGAGCTTTGTTTTTGGGCTTCGGCAGCAGGAGGTAAAAAGGGTTTGTCAGGGATAGCTCTTCTAGGGCATGAAGCCCTTGGACTGTAGGTCCATTCCAGCAGAGAAATCATTTGAATTCCATTGTATTATCATTTGAACTTTAGATTAACATTGAAAAATCAATAGGAACAGTTTGACACCGACACCATACAAGGGTATTTTAGGAATTTTTAAAAATATATCAGCCGCGTGATGTCACATGTGAATGGAGTGTGACGGAAAATTAACAGCAAGGGAGGTTCTAGACAATTGTCAGAAAACTTAAGGGTACTTTAAGACAATATGTAAACAGTAAGGGTAGAGTTAGTCAATTTCCTAAACCATAGGGGTACTTTAAGAAATTTGCCCTTGTATCTATTGACAACGAGTTTAGGGAAACTACTCCTACCTCTTTTCTTAAGCCTTCTATACACATTTTAGATAAGTTTTCAATATTTTCTTTTTGGAGGTTAAATAGGTCCCTTGTATAACATCTTGTTGTACAGGGGCAACACACCTATTCCTTTCATGCTTTATTGATGATAATTTTTTTTATAAATAGCAGTAGTATTTCATTAAATCTAACCTCCTTACTACCCACCAAGGTGGGTAGCAGCCTAGCAGGACAAAAGATTACAATTAAAGCTCCTAAAAACATGGAGACAAACAAAAATGAACTAATCTGTTACAAATTACAACCCAGCCCTGGGCATTCCCACTCCATTTGATCCCTTGCAACCCCTGCCCTTGTTAAAGAGTCTGCCAAAGCATTTGTGCTTCTTGGTACCCTTTTTTTTATCAGCAACACAAAAATGATTTATTAATTATAAGGAGTACAACAAGGAGTTGTGGGAAAAGAACAAGCCCAAAATCACTTCCAATATTTACAAAACAGAGCAAAACATGGATTGTCTCTGAATTCCTTGTTTAGCTAACCCATCCGCCATGCTATTTGCAGATCTCCTAATCCACTTTATTTGGATTATCATGTCTTTAGAAACCTTCTTGGTACCCATTTGAATGAACTATTCAAGTTGATGCCCAGAAGTTGTGCCTGCCTAACCATCAGCCTAAATTTCCAAGGGATCTCTTATTGTCTTCTCATCCAGGTTCCAGCAGATTAAGGTTTCACAATCTCCCTCCACCTCCACATCATTCATTCTCATCATGTCCATCAACTTTAACCCATACTTTCTTGATGACAATTCAATTATACCATACCACTTATGCCCCAAAAAAAGCATTAAGACTTTCTCTCTCAGACTTCTAGAAAGATATTTAGGTTGTTGTCTTCACCATCTCAAAACTCTATAGTCTATAGAAGAAAGCATCACAAAACCATACCTTAGTTATCAAGGTGACACCTAGGCGACAACACATGTTCTAGGGACGCCTTAGTACCATGCCTTCTTTTGCATAATGTCCAGCACCTTCCTAGGCAAGGAAAAGTGCAAGGCATTAAGTATGAAACTATGAACCTTATCATATGTGTTATACACCTATACAATGCTGCATCCAACCCTTATCCCAACTATATGGGGTTGGCTACAAGAATCCTGTTAGCCATTCCTTTCTATGTAATGTCATACCCATTGTTAAGTCATGAACACTTTAATCATTTCTTACTACTTCGACCCATGTCCTTTTATGTCCACCCCTAGCCCTTCTAGCCCATTCAACTTTCAACAGATCACTTCCCGCAGGTACTGTTGATGGTCTTCTATCTATACACTGACCAAACCATCTAAGTCAACTTTATCTCATTTTATTACATATTAGGCCTCATTCACATCTCGGTAAATGACTTACCTAGGTAAATGCACTTATTCGGGCAAGTGTTTCTTGGAAAACACTTATCCAGATAAGAGCACTTATCAGTGTTCTTTTATTCCCAAGTAAAGGTGTACAATGACCGATTTATCCCAAAAAGTGACATTGTTGAAGGGATAATATTGTCCCATCACGTATTAGTGATTTTCGGTGTGCATGGGTAAGTAATTTACCCAAGTCTGAGGAGAGTATTACTTCCCCAAGTAAATGAGAAGCTCGGGAATCGTTCTCTTTCATGGGGCCCACTAATACCAAAAAATAAACATGGGTTTATTTCTTTTCCGTGGGACCTACCAACTTAGCCACCCCCACTTCCCAAAAAACGAATGAGGCCTTAGAGTCACTCTAGTTTCCTTCAAATGGCTTATTTCTAACCCTATCCTTTCTAGTTTTTCCACTGATCCATCTCAGCATACGCATTTTGCCATTCATTTTTCAGACATACGTATTCCATCATCATTTCTGTCAGTCATCATTTTCCCAACTATATGGGGTCGGCTACATAAATCTCATTTCACCAAACTGTTCTATTTAAAGCCATATCCACTGTTAAATTATTGGTGCTTAAATCATTTCTTGTTGCTTCTACCCATGTCCGTTTTGGTCTACCCCTAGCTGTTCTATCCCCTTCAACTTGTAAAAAATCACTTGTTCTAACCAGACTACTGGAGCTGTTGGTGGTCTTTTATCACGTGACCAAACCATCTTAGTCTACTCTCATTTTATCACCTATTGGAGCTACTTCTAGGTTCCTACAAATAGCTTCATTCTTAGCATTCGCATTTCTAGCACTCATTTAATGTTTTGCAAAGCTCATTTGCTGGGATTCACTATAAATATTGACTTATTTGCTTGGACCTAAATAAAAATTCATGATTTTAGATATGATTGCTACTTTGCTGAATGGAATTTATTATATTGTGCACATGGAATATTGAAATTTATGATTTAAAATGATGCCATGTGTCTATATATGAAAAATCCATTATTATTGGTTTTCGTTTAATTCTTTTAATATTTGTCAATACAAAATAATAAGAAAATGAAAACATGTGGCATGTCCAGTGTTTTAAAAGCGCAAGGGCCAATTTGCGCCTAAGGTGCAAGGTGAGGCGCGCGCCTTTTTAAGCAAGGCGCAAAATTACAAAAAAAGGCTAAAATATCAAAAACAAAAGTCAGAAATTTAAGAAAATGCCAACAAATTTAAAAAAAATCAAAAAATATTAAACATAATGTTAATAAAAAATATAAACTTAAATTGTAAAATAAATGTTTTAAAAAACCTATTATCTAAAATTAAAATACATAAACATAACATGTAAAGTGTATTCAAGTGAAATTTTTTTAAAAAAAAGCAAACATATAAAGCATTTTCAAGCATGTAAAACCCACAATCTCTTTTTTTCCTTAATTGCATTGCTTCAAGTAGCTAATGTGATGTAAAACATATTGCATTCTTGATTCTATGAGTCACCTKGWMCMMCGCCCCTCGAGGCAAGCCCGAACAAGTCTATGYTAGGGTCTGAAATTCTTATTTCTCACATAAAAAATAATGATTTTATAACTTTCATTGTCTTTTAAGAAGATATTTTATTGCAATGAATGAATGAACAACATTAGCAAATGGGGGGTTCTAAGAATTTCAGACCCTAATATAGACTTGTTCTGGCTTGCCTCAAGGGGCGTGGTCGACAGTCTATTAGATTCAAAAAAAAAGCAAAAAGCGCAAAATTTTAAAAAGGCACATGCCTGGGCTGAGGCGCAAAGCGCATCAGGTGCACACCAAGTGTGCGCCTTTTGAAAGGGGTGCGCCTAGGACCTAGGCGAGGTGCGCCTTTTAAATCACCGGGCATGTCAATATGGATAGTATAGTTCCCAATAAATTAATAAGTTCAATTTGTCAAAAAAACACTGCATAACTGGTGCCTAGGTGGCACCTATGCACTAATGAGAAAACAGCACCTTGTCACCTAGTATCTTGTCATCCCGTTCCCATTCCCTATGATGCCTCATAGAAAAGGATTCTTCCCAACATCCAAAAAGTGATGATCTTGAAAGTAGTGAAAGAGATACACTATGATTCCCCTTAGAGTGCTTCACCATGTTCATATTCATTATTGATTAGATAGTACATTCTTCTTATGTTTTGCATCAGTTATTTTATGAGGAAAATGGAATTTCCATTCCCTTTTGACCATTTTTTGTTCTTGATTTCTTTCTTTATGATAAAGTGAAAATGCATTAAGGTTGTGTTTGTTTGCATGCAAGACAAAGGAAAATCAATGATTTCCCTGGAAGATGATATTCAATAGGAAAATAAATTATATTCCTGATTTTTTGGTGTTTTTCTTAGTTTGGAAGGAAAACAAGCCTAAATAGTTGAGAAATATGAATGTTGCAAGATAAGAGTTGAGAGAATCAATCTCCTTTTGGAAAATGGCATTGAAAATTAGAATCAATATCATTTTCCTACAATCAGCTATTATTTTTTAGGAATGCAACCAAACACCATAAAGTAGCAATTTCAGATAACCATTTAATTTCCTTCATTTTTGGCTTACATCAGTGTTTTGGCTTCAGGTTTGTTTATTGGTTATCTGAAGTTGTCCAAAAATTTCTGTTACCTCTCTAAGTTTAGATTTGGTATGCTGATGCTTAAAAAATAAAAAAGGTAAATCTTGAATCCACCCTTAAGCATGGCATTGATAAATGGAAGCTTAAAAGCAACATGAGAATAATCGGTTCATTACAAGTGGAAATGTATACAAAATGGATAAGGCAACTAAGGCAACAAAAGCTCATATGCATAGAGTGAACGTAGTAAGAAAAGATATCACAATTAACATGATTGAAAGCAAGAACTTACGTAGGCACCATATGGCAAGTGAGATTTTGCCCCATTAAAAAACACTTCCCCATACACTTTACTTGGTTCATGCAATCTTCCTGAAATGAACATCAGACAAACACCGTTTCTGTTTTAGAGCTAATAACAAAAAAGGCAAAAAACGCATATTCAAACACTCAAGTAACATGCAGTTGAGGGAAATCAAATGAACCTGCAATCGCCCTTAGCAGAGTGGACTTCCCAGATTTGGCAGGTCCCATGATCACTGTAAGTGTCCCGGGCAAAGCATAACCATTTGAACTCTTCACGACCTTTTCAGAGTATTTCCTCTTTCCCCTAATTGTAACTGTTAAGTCCTTCCACACAACCGAAGCTCCCGCAATTTTTCTTGCAAAAACTGATCCATCAGGCAATGGAGGGGATGGCAGTGACCCACTATTAAGCTTCGAAAGAGAAGGAGAGGCTGTAGTTGCAGCATGGATAGAGTCCCCTCCTTCCTCCACCCGCACATCAATTTCAGTGTCATCCCACTCAGGTGAATCCTCAAATGAAATGGGTTGTCCTAGAGAGCCAGGTTTCCGCAAATAGAAAAAGTTACTTGAGGGTACCCTACTTGCAGGACTACTAGCTGATGAAGAAGACGATCTATAGTGATCGGACTGTGACTGTATTTCTTCCATTCTTGTCCAAAGACCCAATCTTGCAACTCAGTTATTAACTTTCTAACATGAAATCAATAAAACCCAATATAGATTTGATCCTTCCCATTAATCAACCTAAAAAACTTCGTAGTAAAATTAATTTAGACTTTTAGTTCCTAGCTTCTTCTAACCAACTTTCCAGCATACCAGATCACTATCTAGCAGAGTAAGTAACCGAACCTGCACAAAATGCGAAACTAGAATTAGCGAAGAAGAAAGGAAGCAAGGGAAAAAAAGAACTTCTCGCAATACCAAAAACAATAAGAACAATAATTTATCTCGTTCTCATATATTCATGTTCGCATCGTTTACTCTGGAACCAGCCCTTCACATAAAAGCATGGAAACCGTTACAGCCTAAAAATTCTGCTTGATTGGAACTCTTTCATCAACATTTCTGATACTCATAGCTCCATACACGTTTTAAACAATATCTAGCATTAACCGTATTTAAGGGCGAACACGAAAAGACACCCACTCCATTTCTCTTCAAATTAACCCCAAAACCCTAAAAGGCTAAAACCATACAGAGAAAAATAAAAACAATGAACAAGCAAATAATAATAATAATAAAAGAAATGAAACCGACATTCGAATCTTACTCCAATGCTATTGTAATGATTTCTTCTCTAAGGCTGCAAAAGATAGAAAGAATTGAAGAAGTACAGTGTTGTAAGAGAATGCATGAGCGAGAGAGAGAACTTGGATGGCTGGATCTGGGTTACAAGGTAGGAGCTGAGCTGAGTGTCAAATTTAGGGGTCCTGAGTCTTGAGTCCTGAGCCTTGACTATTTTGGGAGGGAGAGCGTAACGAGTGTTAACTGTGTTGACGACCTGGCGTTGTTTATTGGGGATCTTTTTTTGACTCGCTTTTCCCGGTTTGACGTGATTTTGCCTTCTTTTTGTTCCCATCTTGTCACGAAGGAAGTGGAATCAGGATCTACGGCCTTGGACTTTGGGTGGACTCTCTTGCTAAATAGAAACATCAGATTGGAATCTTCTATTTTGGTTACGAAGCTCCATCATCCATAGTTGTCTACGTAAATAGCAAAATGCTCCAATCCAATGGTTATCACAAATTCACCACAGGCACAGATATATGTCACGGAGGAAAGAGAGCCAATGTTTTGTTCTATCTGGTGGGACCCTACAGCTGGATTGGAAATATTCCATTGCGCCCATGTTGTAATATAAAATAGTATCAAGTACAGTAGAAGCTTCCCAGTATTTTGTTTTGGTAAAGCTTAATAAGTTTAGATTATTACATGCATTTTAAGTATATTAACATTTTTTGTCAACAATTTTTTCTTGGGTCACATTGAAATAGGAGTGTGAATTGGATTGGTCCGAGTTAACAGTTTACATTATGTTGGGTTCGGGTTTTAAGTTGGGCTTATTAAAATTTGGCAAAATCTTAATCCTAACTTGGAAAAATTGCACCCCTACATTAAAGGAAGCTATCATATCTTTCTCAGTAAATTCTCTTATTGTATTTTCATATTTAAAATTTATCTCTACTTTTCAAAGTTTTACTTAGGCTGGTCAACAAATTTAAATATAATATTAAAATTTATGGGCCTAGGCTAGTCCCATGTAGGGCCAAGCTTTGGGTTATGGGCCTTATGGCCCTTTGTGATCAACCCTACTTTTAATTATGACCATGGGGTTGGCTCATGGCTGCAAGAGTCTTGTTATGCTATTTGGTTCTATGCATCGTCATATCTATTGTTAAATCGTAAACCACTACTTCAATCTATAATCCTTTTGACCTGCTTTGTCTAAAGTAAAGTATGTTTCTTCTATGTTCTTAAAATAACCTATTTTGTTTCATAGTATGCATGAAAGCATTAACTTGAATAGTTGAGTTATCATGTCCCTATAGCATTTGATCAAGTTCAAAATGTGTTGGTTATTCCCCCCCCCCCCCATGTGCAAAAAAAAATCAGCGTAGAAAATGGGACTAATGTTGCTCATGGGTCCAAATTAGCGGTTCAATTATATAATTTGAATGAATCAAAGACATAAATAAGATAAAAAATATATTTAAAATATAAAATTTAGCATCTAAATCATTGTTTGGGGTGCACAATTTGGCAGTTAACCCATCTGGATCAGCTGTTTGTTGACAATTAATTCAACACCTTTTTTTTTTGCAACATAATGGGTCAGGTGGTAAGTGGGTCTGAAAAAGGTGGCCAGCTGGATCATAGGCCAAATGGTTGGACCGCTTGGGTTAGCATGTTTTGTAAACACCAGTAATCCAAACCTTTTTCCACCATGACTTATATATATATATATATTTTTGTTCTTATAATATATTTAAAACCATTGGCCTAGAATCAAACCCGACGTAGCCCCAATCCATGGTCACCCCCAGTTGTTATGCCTAAAGGTTTGGCCTTATTGTAAATAATTTTGCTAGATTGGTCTCCATCCACACACCCAATTGCCATGAGTCCATTTAGTTGCTCTTGATGCATCAATGTTTATTCTATTGCCATGTTTAAGGGTTCCATTTAAACAAAAGAAGACCTCTCATTTTTATTTTTTGATGTGCATTAGTTCTAGTCACTCCCCAAACGAATTTCTTGAACATTCCAAGCTTTCTTAATAATCAAGGATGGATTGTCCTTAGTGTCTTAGAAAACCAACTTGTTTCAAGCTTCCAAATTACCCTTGGTAGGAAAACAAAATTTTCCCAATAGAAATAAAATAACCCTTATGGGCACTAATCCAACGGTTTTAGATGGTTAGGTACTCCTCAACTAGGTCTATTCCTCAATAAAGGCCCAAGTCTTAGAGGTGTAAATCTGGTCGTGCTAGGCCTGGCATGATCGTGTGGGCCGTGTTGGGCCTGGGGCTTTAGGTCCATGGGTCGGGTCGTGTCGCCCACAGCCCGTGTACCGGTATAGTCCAACACGACCCATATATATTATTTATATATATTTTATATATGTATATAAATTATAGTATATAATATATTAATAAAATAAACATTTTTTTTAATTTTATTATACTAATTTATTTAATTGCATATATAAGCAATTGTATGCATCAAAATTCATATATAATTAAAATTTTAAGTTTTTTTCATTTTTTTAAATAAATAGCTTTGGTCTGGTCTACGGCATAGCATGGGCCTACACGGGCTTTGGGTTGTGAACCGTGCTAGGCTGACCCTCCAAATTATCCCAAGGGAGGGCAGCACAACCCACACTTTATGCGGGATATGCCATACCGACCCAGCATGGCCCGTTTTACACCTCTACCAATTTTTTTTTTTAACAAAGGGACCTTGAATAAAAATGTTAAGAGTCATCCTCTTCACAATAAGGGGCAATGCAGATTCAGGGTGGTTTATCTATTTAAGAGGAGTTTCTTAATTGGGAGCCTCCCATTCATCAGAATCCAAAGAGAAATTCTTGTTTTGGACAACAGTTTATCAAGCTTGAATCTAGGTAGAACATAAAGTAATTTGGATATGACATAATGCTTCATTTGATGAAACATAAAGTAGCATCAATAAGATCATCACGTAAACACATTGTCACTCGTGCATCAAGGAGAACAACTCTATTCAAAAGCAAATATTATATTCTCTTTGTCTTCAATGATAGAATGGGGTCTTCAGCTTCATATCGCTTGCTCTAGTTAGATACTCGTGATTCTCATCTCTGGTTGTTTTATAATATTGTATTAATTGATCTCATTAATCCATTTTAATAAGTGAGACCATATAATTGAAACTGACTTATAATACCTTGGACTCAGCTTCGTTGATGTTTCATTCTCATAACTTTGAACCCCAATTTTTAACTCTAATCCTGACCTAATCAACAATAAACTATAATTTTGTCCACCAAAGAAGCTACAATGTAATCTGTGGTGTCCAGGATTGTTTTGATATGTTTTGGTTCCAAGATTGAGAGTTAAGCTTAAAATGCTTTATCACGAGGAATATATCTTGAATTTATGTAGATCTGCAACTTAGTGGGCCCAATACAAATCTGACTCGACTCGATCCAAGTATTCGCATGAATTGGGCCTAAATTTTCAGTATGAGAGCTGGGATTGGGCCAAAAATCTCAATCCTAACTTAAAGTTGGGTAAGGCTTGGATATTGAGGCCTTGAGTAAGTTGAGCTTGGTCTAACTTAATATGGACCTGATTGAACAAATACATACGTATATGTATTATATTTATATAAAAATATCATTTATTCTAATTATATATGCATGTATCTATAAAATATGTAAATGTGCATTTTGTAAATGAACAATGTGTGTATTTTCAATCACTCTATGCACCAATGCCCACCCGTGAATTGGCATCAATTCCGAGCTGGCACCTACCCCAACTGTACTTTGGGCCTAAAAATTATGACCTTGGGCAGAACCGTCATTCTCCCAATGGGTTAATTCATGTTACTATGATTAAATAATAAAATTCAAAAATAGATAAATTGAAAAAAAAAACTATAAAAAAATGGGAACATTTTTAACATACATATTAAACAGTAATAAGTACGATAAATAAGAAATGCTTTTATTATTGATGGAAATTGAACGTAAAATTTAAAACCAATTGGAAATAAACATATTTTCATATTCTCTCTCATTAAATCCTATATTTAAGATATATTTTTATTATCATTAAATTATTGTAATTAAATTCACAAATTTAATTTTAATAGTATAAAAATAAATATTTTGAAAACAAAACCATTTTCTTCCCTCTCGGTGGTGGGCAAGCAATTTGATCATTTGGGGTAAAATGGATTAATAAACAATAAAAAATTTAAAATAGATAAGTATTGATGAGGGCAGATTTGGCCCTACAGTGAAATTGCGACACGTGCCACCTCGTGACAACTAGGCAAGCCCCCAGGCAACAACTTACCAAGTTGGTCCCCCCCCCCCGGGCACCG